GGTGCGCAGCTCTCGGGGGGGAGGGGGGGGGGGCGCCCGGGGGCCACATTCCCAGGCACTCAGAGGCCGCTGCCACTGCCACGCGTCGCGCGCAGCGACCCGCGAGATCCACACACCTGGGGCCGCCCTCTTGCCTCAAGTCGGTCATGCCCCTCTACAGGAGGAGCATTCAAAAGTAGTCCACAAAGAGTCAGGGGACGACTTTTCTGTTACTCGTGACTAGTCCTCGGATGTCCCAACCTACTTTAGCCATAGCCACCAGAAAGAATTTTCGAGCACCAGAACAGCACCCAAAAACTCGAGGGTTTCTACGTGCCGGGCACTGGGAGACACTGGGCCGACACTGTTTCGACACTCTTTCGACACTTTTCCGGGTGCTCGAAAGTACTTCAGGGATGTGGTCCTTAAGTGCTATGGGAGCAACATAAGATTAGTCTTGAATTTTCTTTGTCTAGTGTTTAACTGTTTCCAACCATCCGCGTACGGGAGACCCCGCCCGACCTAACTTTTGCCCTCGGGGTCGCTGCTGCGTGCGGCCGGCGCGTTCGGTGCTGCGTGGCGCCCCTGGTCCACGGGACCCTCGCCCTGGCGGCCCTGCTGCCCCTGTGCGCGGGCGCCCTCTGCCTGTGCGGCGCCTACGGGGGGCAGAGCGGCGAGCACCTCGCCGAGTACGGCGCCCTGGGCCCGCGGGGGCAACCGCAGGGGGGGCGGGGGGTAGCCTCCAGGTTTGAGGATATCCCCCCACCCCCGCCCTTGTTTCCTCGGTGGGGAACAAACTCCGCCCCTCATCCTGCTCCTCCTCCTCCTCCTCCTCCTCCTCCTCCTCCTCCTCCTCGTGGTCGTAGTCGGCATCGTCGTCGGCGTCGTCGGCGTCGGCGTCGGCGTCGTCGTTCTCGCGCGGCTGGTGCCGCGGAGAACTAGCCATTTCTCATGATCGGTGGGACCCCCGCCCGTCAACAAGGGCGTCGAGAGGATACTTGTCAGGAGGGAAAAAAACACACAGACACAATTAATCGTCGATTCCCAGAAAATATGGGAAAATATGGGAAGTGGGGGGGAAGACAAAAACCCAGAAAATATAGGAAAATATGGGGAATCCTTTTATTTGTGTGTATTTATTTGTGTGTCCTGGGGCCCCTTCAAACAAGGGCGTCGAGAGGATACTTGGTCTCCGCAGTCAGGAGGGGTCTGAATGCGTGTTGCGGTCAAGCCTCTCTGGCGGGGGACGCACCGACCCCACGCCGCCGACTCCTCGCCGATCGGGGCCCCACCCCGCCCCGAGGACCCTGCGGCTTCGCCATCGGGGGTGTGCCTGTCGCCGATGCGCCGGCGATGCGTCGCCGATGCGCCAGGCCAATGCATTGTTCGGGGGCCCCCAAACGGTGCGGTGACCACACCGTGCGGTGAGCCAGTGGGGATTCGGGGTCACCGCACGGTTTTGGGACTCGGGTCGTTCTCCGAGGACGTCTCGGGCGACGGGGGCCTCCGAGGTCCCAAGACCGTGCGGTGACGGACCGTGCGGTGAGGTCTTGGGGGATTTCGAGGTCACCGCACGGTCCGTCACCGCACTGTTTCGGGACTCCAAATGCATGCTGCCCCCTCCCCCCCTGAGGTGGCCCCCCCTGCAGTCCACCCGCATCGTAAGGATGGGCGACGTTCTAAGGCTACCCCTGCATCCTTCCCCAGCAGGCCCATCCTTTCCGACTCTTTTCGCTGGCCAGCCTCGTTCGGAAAGCGTTGAAGTGGCCCTCCGAGACCCTTGCATCCTTCCCGCGAATGCTTATTATACGGGCTGATTGCAGCGCGGCCTCTCATCAGGTGCCGTCGTGCCGTCCACCGGCAACCTGACGTGGGACGCCTCCATAGGTTGCGCGCTCTCGGCCTTGGGGCTCCTGGTCGCGCTCTTCGCGTGCTGCTGCAGGCGCTCGATAGAGCTGGTGGTCGGCACGCTCGAGGCCGCGTGCGAGTGCCTGTGGGACGCCCCCTCGCTGCTGCTGCTGCCCCTGCTGTCCGTCCTGAGCAAAGCCGCGGTCGTCGCCACCATGGGCTACAACCTCTGCCTTCTGGCGACGTGTGGCGAGGTGGTGCCCTACGAGGTCAGCGAGGGCGTCCCTGCGGGCCTCGCCAGGACCTTCGCGTGGAGCGCGGACCAGCAGCGGCACCCAGGGTTTTAATCGCGACAACACTTGTCGTTGTCAATCGCGTGGGCCGCCTGGTCTTTCTCCTCCTCCTCCTCCTCATTATATGCCTTCTCCTCCTCCTCCTCCTCCTCCTCCTCCTCCTCCTCCGCCTCCTCATCCTCCTCCTCTTGACCCGGATTTTTCACAGCGGGGGGCCTGTGCATCGAGTCCGTGGCACGCAGTTCGATATTGGCAAAGCGAGCGAACCTTCAGGCGATTTTCTGTGCGGGAGAGAAAATAGGTACCTGGTCTTCTACGCATTCATGATTGCGTGGGCCCTGGAGCTGCTGCACGCCCTGGACCAGTTCGTCGTGGCTTACGCGGCACAACTCTGGTTTTTCAGGGAATACGTGAGCATCGCTGGCATCAGGACTAAGTCGACCCTGTCCCCCTACCGGCGGAATCTTCAAAAATAGTCCAAACATATTATGGGGGCGATGTTTCGACGATTTCTTTCTAGTTTTGCATCTCTGTTAGCTTTTTTGGAGGGGGAATTTTCCGTCCAATATCCACCTGTGGGGGACACGCCCGACCTAACGTCAGGAAGAAGCGCATGACATTCGGAAGAGAGACGTCAGCATAAGCATACGCGTGCAGAGGTCCGCGCGGATCTCTTGGATCGGCGCTGGGCCCCAATGGCTTAGGAGGGGAAAAAACACACAGACACAATTAATCGGCGATTCCCAGGAAAATATGGGAAAATATGGGAAGTGGTGGGGAAGACAAAAACCCAGAAAATATAGGAAAATATGGGGAATATTTTTACTTGTGTGTATTTATTTGTGTGTTTGTGGGCCTCTTCAATGGCGGCGTCTCCAGGGCCGCCCCCGGCGCTTTCCGTGCGCGGGGCACGGGCATCTTGCGTTGATCCAAGAGAGCCGCGCGGACCTCCGGATGTTCATGTCGATGCCGGTGTTTCATCTTCTGGACATGGTTTCCGATGCTGCGCGGCTTCCTCGTCGGGGTCATCTTCCATTTCGGCACCCTGGCGTTCGGGGCCTGCCTGCTCGCCCTCTTCAGGGTGGCGTACGTCCTCCTGTCTCTGGCCATGAGGCACGTCGAGCAGGCCAGCGAGGACGAGCACGGCAACCAGAACTGCTGCGCCAGGGCCATGCTGGGCTGCTGCGGTTGCTGTGTCGCGTGCTGGGACGCGGTCATCGAAGAAGAAACAAAGGCATGACATACATCGAAGGAGAAAAAAGCGCCATAAAGTCTATGTTTATGGCGTTTTCTTGTCGCTCTGAACATACATCTTCGCAATCCCGCGCGGATTTCTCGTCTCGGCGCTGGACCCCCCCTCCCTGGCGCACGGAGCGCGTTAGAGGCGGCGCCGGAGGCGACGTGCAGGGAGCGCATCAGAGGAAGGCACCGCTATTCCTAAGTCGGGCCTGTCCCTCTACAAGAGGACTATCCACATATATTGATAAATAGTCAGGGGACGATGTTTCTATTATTTTGGCTATGTTCGAGCAATTGCGAGCTATTGTTTCATTTTTCTGCCAAAATCCGCCTGTAGGAGTCCGCCTGTAGGAGGACATGCCCGACCTAACGCTACTCCCTGAACCTCTGCCCTGGGTGCGTTCTGAGCAGAACGTCGCAAAACATCAAGAGGTGGTGACAAAGGCTCTCGAGGACGATTGGCGGTATCAGTATGTCTTCCTGCCCTGATGCGCGCTGTGTTGTGGATCCTTGATTGTTGGCGTCCGTTGCCAGGTCATATGAATGAATGGTCGGATCAGAAGTGGATGCACGCACAACGCTTTCATACATCTGCATCGGCAGTGCTGTCTCTGCTTCGCGCTCTGTTCGCTCCTGGCTCGTGATGCGCACGGCACGCGCTCGAGCTACATGGCCAGCACCGTATCATGTGGACGTGTTCGAGGAAAGGTCCTCCCCTACAGTGCGTGTTGATGCCGTTATTCCTCCTCCCCCAGGTCATCCGTTTCATGTGCAGCAAGGCGTACATCGTGACGGCCATCGAGTCGGAGGCCTTCTGCCCCGCGGCCGCCCGGGCGTTTGGCGTCGTCGCCGAGGAGGTGGGCGCGATCGGGGCGCTGGACGTCGCGACGTGGGTGCTCTCCATCGCTCAGGAGTTCCTGTAGCAGCGCCGAGGACGTTTTTACTGTTTTGGAGATCGACGTTCTTGGCATCGCTCGGACGTGTGCAGTTTTTCTCGGCGGGCACCATCGAGGTGCAGATTGGATCACCTCGCGAACAAATGCACGCGCGAAGCCGAAACATGCACGGGGGGAAATGGACGTCCGAGCGATGGCGAGGTAACCCTGAGGACATTTTTCTTGCTTTGGAGATCGACGCTGCCTACACATTTGGGGCGCCGTTTCTGTAGGGTGCTCGGGTCCGAGATCGGCCAGTGGGCCATCTGCCTGTTTTCTCTCCGGTTCGGCGGCTTGTCTGATTTAAAGGGAAGGCGTCGTGAGACATCGCAGTGCCGCCTGCCTGATGCCCACTCTCCATGGGGTGCCGCTTCTGGCACGTTTTTGGCTCGACTCTGGAGCGAAGCACGGAAAACAAGGGGGAACGACGCCCCCGGCGCCCTCGAGAACCACTGAGCTCCGTCGGTGGCGTGATCACGATCTCGGGGCTCGGCTCGTACCTCACGTGGTTCCTCCTGCGCTGCGTACCTGCGCTCGCGGACGCCCAGTCGGAGTACTTCGTGCCGGATCCAGAGGCCGTGACTGGCGTCGCCGCGGTGGTCTGCGTGCTCGTCGCCACGTCGTTCATGGCCCTCTTCGGCATGATCTCGGACACCATCGTGTTCTGCTGGGCCCTGGACAGGCAGAGCGAGGACCGAGGAGGAGACTACGTGCCCCCGCGCCTCAGGGAGCTGCTGGGCGACGACGGCAGCGACCGCGCGAGCGGGTCCCGCAGGAGCCTGCTGGGATGATCCGAGTGCGGCGTGCTGGCGCAGAGCTCCTCGCCGTCTGACACGCCGCACCTTGGGGCTGCTCCCGCCAGCGCCGTTTCGCCAGCTCGCGCTCCGGCGGTGGAGGGTCTCGTTCCGGTGTTGCCCGAAGTTCGGGCCGAACCAAGGGGGGGGGGGTACGAAATCTGCCGCGTGCAGCTGGTTTCGGCCCCGCCGCCGGGCCCATGCCTCGATACACGGGCGCCTCCTGGCGCCGGGAAGCGCTGGGACAATCAGCTACGTGAGCTGATTCTCTACCCTTCCCTGTGCTATCCCCTCCTCTTGCTCCCCCCGAGAAGTGCCCCTGGCCCAAAAGGCGCCCATCAGGACTTCCCAGGGAGGCCCCCCTGGGCCGACAGAGAGCACTCCTGGCGAGGCCCAGAGGGCCCCAGGGGCTCCGCAGTGGAGCGAGAAGCTGGGGGCACCTGGAGGGATTTCCAAACATGGTCCAAGCAAGTTGTCTGGGGACGACTTTTCTTTTTCGTATTTCTGACTCACTGTTGGACACGTTTGGATTCTGTCTTCATTCTTTATCGACAAGCCCCCTGTAGGGCGACGACATGCCCAACCTGAGGCCAGGGGCACTGCTGTCAGCCCCCGACACGGGCGGGGGGCCGCGGAGCGCGAGCAGGCTCCCCTGTCGCACGCCATGGCCGCGAGCGGAGAGCGCGGCGCGCCGCGAACGCGGGCGCAGCGCTCCCGACCCCCCTCCTCCGCCTCCTCCTCCTCCTCCTCCTCCTCCGCCTCCTCCTCCTACTCCTCCTCCTCCGCCTCCGCCTCCGCCTCCGCCTCCTCCTCCTCCTCCTCCTCCTCTCCTCTCCTCCCCTCCTCCTCCTCCTCCTCCTCCTCCGCCTCGCCTCCGCCTTCGCCTCCTCCTCCTCCTCCTCCTCCGTCTCCTCCTCCTCCTCCTTCTCCTCCTCCTCCTCCTCCTCCTCACTCCCCCCGCGAGCGGCTGCACAGGCCCAAAGCTGGCTGCGGCCCAGGCAGCTCCCGCTCCTCCACCCGCGAAAGGCTCGGCGCCACCCCAGCACATTGACGCTGCTGCGGGTGGGTATGCTGCATGTCTGGGTCGGACGCGCGCCTCCAGGGAGGACATGTGGTACCAGTGTGTTTTCTGTGCGTCCCAAAGAGGGAGAAACGGCACAACCGTGCGCTGCTGGCGGCCCGAGCGGATCTCTCAGATCTGCGCCGGAACCCCTCCCTGGAGCGGGGGGCGTGCCAGGGGCTGCGCCTCTTCCTCCTCCTCCTCCTCCTCCTCCTCCTCCTCCTCATCCTCATCATCATCATCATCATCATCATCATCATCATCCAGCTCCGCTCCAGGGGCGATCTGCGCGGAGGACACTGTGCGCCTTGTGAGGGGGGCAGCGTATCCGAATTCGCGGCACTGGCGGCGCAGCGTATTGCGCAGCTCCCTAAGGTGCCCGATTGAGTCGGGCACATCCTCCTGGCGCTTGTGGCAGCGCTGGTCAAGAAAGCGCCTTGTGCAGGGCTCTTGTGATTGCCCTCGGGACTGTATCCGAGCGCGCGTGCTCACGCAGGAGAGGGATGCGCGGCACAAGCACGACAAATGCGGGCCCCGTGCTCGCGACCCCCTTGTGCGCCGTGTGCGTCGGCATGCTTCGCTCCAGCATTCTCCCTATCAAAAATAGTCCCAGATGTGCGACGTCCTGATGGTTTCTATTTGCAGCCCCCGGCAGTCCCGACCCTTTCCCCAGGGCTGGTTTTGCATCCCGAGTCGAGTTGTGATTGTCCCGAGGCCCTGTAAGGGCCCCCAGAGGCCGAAAGTTGCCAAACATTTTCCGTCGTGAATTTTTTTGAAAACGCGAGAATGTCTGGGATAGTAATGGCATCGCTCGGACATGTCGTTCTCTCTCGGCGAGGACCATCGAGGAGCATCGTGGGCCATCTTGCGACTACGCACGAGACCGAACATGCACGGGGAATGGACGTCCGAGCGATGGCAAATTGTCAGGGCCACCAGCCACGGCCACCGGGATTTCTTCCACCCCCCAAAAAAAACACCATAAACATACATTTCTGGCGCTCCGCGCGAATTTCTTGGATCTGCGCTGGGCCCCCCTAGCGGCGGGCGCCTCCGGCGCCGCCCCTGGCGCGCTCCGCGCGCGAAGGAGGGGGGGTCCAGCGCAGATCTATGAAGTCCTCGCGGAACGCCAGACATTTATGTTTTTATGCCGTTTTTTTCTTCCTCTTATCAGAAGCTCCCCCCCCCAAGGCTTCCGAGACGAGAGGCAGGTGCGCCAGAACCCCCCTCGCCCCTCGCACGGACGGGCCGCCTGGCTCTGCGGGCGGGCACGGGAAAGCCCGCGCCCCCGGAGCCGGGCGCGTGTGCCCGCGCGCGGGGAGGAGAGCAGACGACGACGACGATCCCGATGGCGGTCGTCGTCGTCCTGAAACTTAGGCCTTTTGGATGGGGCTGGGGCAGGTGGGGTCGGAGGATCTCGCCGCATCGCTGGCGCATCGGCCGGCGATGCGGCTCGATGTGGAGCCCCCTTCATCAGGCGCCGATGCGTCGCCGACGTCGGCGAAGCGTCGCCGGTGCATCGCCGATGCATCGCCAATGCATCGCCGATGCAACGGAGATGTATCGGCGATGCGGCGCGATCCTGCGACCCCACCTCTTTCGACCCTAAGTAGGAGGCCTCTTAACATCGTCACCGTCACCGTCGTCGTCACCGGGGCTGCCCTGCAGCTCGCCTCGGTGTCCGTCGGCAGCAGAACACGGGAGCCTTGCTTGTCCTCGTAGCTCCGTCTTCCGGCTGTACTCGCGTGCCCTGGCGTCGTTCTTGTGTCGATTCGCATCGATTAGCGCCGACTTGGCGTCGATCCTCTGGTACAGTGGTGACACGCATCAAGAAACCACATGCGCTTCGTCAGGGTACCATGGGTGTCCTCGCTCCGCGCGCTGCGCGGTGACTTCCTGCGGCCGTTGAAGAAGCTGATGTGTTCAGGGTGCTCTGGGCTCCCCCCCATGTGCATCTCACGCGCGGGTTTCTAGGGCTGGGTCGCGTCCGCACTACAGCGACTCATGGGAGGCTTGCGTGTCCTCGTAGTTCCGTCTTCGAGGTGCACCAGCGTGCGTCAGCGTGGATCTGGCGTCCACTCGCGTCGACGTAGCATCGAGTTAGCGTACGATTTAGCGTCGATGAGCGTCGATTTCGCGTCGATTGGCGTCGGTCAGCGTCGAACCGCGAGAGCCAGCAAGACGGCACGGGGGGGGCCCCCGTGGGGTGCCATCGAGGGCTCCGGGTGTTGCAGCTCCTTTCGCACCAGGCGCCGTCGCTCGGGACCACCGCAGCCCGCTCTGTGTCTCGGCTGCACTTCGGGGTCCTTTTGCGCTGCAGCTTCGGGGGGCTTCGCCTGTCCCCAACATTGGAGTCTCGTCCTGTGCCCGGCGCGGGCTCGATGCGGACCCGACGCGGATGTGGCGCGGACCCGGATCCGACGAGTCCGACATGGATGCGACGAGTCCACATCTGATGGTGGCGAGGGATCGGGCCCGGTTCGGCGGCAGCTCGCGGGAGCCCGGCTCGTCAGGAAGGCAACGATCGGGTTGCGGGGATAAAACGACGCGAAGATCGGGACAACATCGGATCGGGATACTTCGAAATCTCTGAGAATCGGCGGGTTTGGAGGATGTATTGGGCGCCGCGGCCGCTCCAGAGCGTTCCGGAACGCTCTGAGAGCGCTCCGGAACGCTCTGGAGCGATTTGTCCCGATCCTAGCCCTGTTTTAGAGGATCGGGTTGGGAGCAAGGGGGATATCTCATTGCCCGCAGGCGGCCCCGAGGGGTATCGTTCGTTGCATCCGGAGGTTGTTGCTCGTGCCTTGCTTCCTCCCAACCCATTCCTGCCAACACGATGCTTGTTCTCTTCACTTCGGGATCCCGCAAAATGGGGGAGTGCTCCGGTGTGTGTGTGTGTGTCTGTGTGTGTGTGTGTCTGTGTGTGTGTCTGTGTGTGTGTGTGTCTGTGTGTGTGTGTCTGTGTGTGTGTGTGTCTGTGTGTGTGTCTGTGTGTGTGTGTCTGTGTTTGTGTGTCTGGTGTGGTGTTCCTGTGTGTGTGTCTGTGTGTGTGTCTGTGTGTCTGTTTGTGTGTCTGTGTGTGTGTCTGTGTGTGTGTCTGTGTGTGTGTGTCTGTGTGTGTGTCTGTGTGTGTGTCTGTGTGTGTTCTGTGTGGTGTGTGTCTGTTGTGTGTCTGTGTGTGTGTCTGTGTGGTGTGTGTCTGTGTGTGTGTCTGTGTGTGTGTCTGTGTT